GGTGGTAACTCGCTTATATATTTAATTTAACAAACATATACACAATTTTTAAAGTAAAAGGCTCGCCATATCTCCCGTGTCACGAGATGTTACGTGGCTGCCATGGAAGCCGCACCGTTTTCTTTGACCAAGGAAGGCCAGGCGCCTTGACATTGAGAAACACCCTGTATCATGTAGCGGTTAGCTAGTAGGCTAAGACAAAGCTAACGTGTCTCCTCAGGGAAACTAAAATGTCCGTATTTCTATGGTATTTCAAACCGAACAGCGAAGGCAGACCAACAGGCACTTGTAATGTGGGGGCACACATTCAACGTGCTGGAAAAGACAGCTGTGTGATTGGCAGCCGTGGCGCCACATGCCTGCCCCGTCGCGGAGAACACACGTCACTTACTACAGCCGCATATGGAGGGAATAAACAGATAGAAATATGAGCGACTAGTCGACTTTTAAATGGATTCAATGTTTTTTATTGCAGTGTACTTCCTAAACGAGTGATGTTCTTTAGCAGATTCATTAGGAAATTACATAAATATAGAAAGAAAGAATTACATAAATGATAATTAAAAAAACTTTAAGGAAAATTAGTATTTTTTCTTTTTTTTTTTACATATATATGTAGAGAACCTGGCTAGGCTCTGCCAATTATGTAGTGTAATGGTTTATGCTCTTTTATGAAAGATGAACCATCCTACATATTAATTTGTGATATTAATTTGTAATAAATTAATAACCAAATTTTATCGTTTTAAGAAGACTCAAAGGTTGTTTTCATCGATAAACTGTCGATGATATCCGTGGGTCTGTGTTTCAGTTCAATGAAGAGACAAGTTTGAAAGTTAAAAGTTTTAATTCTTCAAATTAAACTAATGATTTTGAAATGACAAGCAGAGGAACATCAATCAACATTGGCAACTTTGTTGAACAATCTTTAACAGTTGATATTTTAAACTTGCTCAAATAGACCTTGTGTTGAATGTGTGAAATTTAAGAATGAGGTAAGATGAATGCGTGTGTGCGTCTGATTTTGCTTCAGGAAGAAGCAGGTGTCTGAGTGAAAAGTGATGGTTTGAATAAACTTAGGTTTCGTTGGAAAAGATGCATCAAGCGCTATCTGTTGTGGACTGCCTCACCGTATTCAGACCCTCTTTTAGATCCGGGACCCAGGAGGGTGGTACTCCAGATGACACCTCGGCTGGCAGAGGAGACGGAGGTGTGCTGGCGACCCGGTCCAGAGTTGCCCATCGGTACACGTGATGATAAAGCGTTTGCAGATGCGCTTTCTTAAGTTTAAATTACTCAGAAATCAAAAGACTCGGGACGAGTCTGCGTTAGCTGGTTGCAATTCGGCTATCCTGTATGGCTTGGCAGGAACAGCGTGGGGGGGGAGAAAGGAGCCGCAGCCCCGTTCCCCGTTGGCGTTGTTCACACGTCCTCTCTCTTTCGTTGTCAAACACCGAACTGAATAACAAGACTGAAAACTTTGGCACAGAAAACCCATATTTCCTCACGTTACAGATATAAATGCATCGCTGAAGTATCGGATCGGGTTTCGGAATCGGCAGAATCTGAAAATCAAAGGACTTGGATGGGGAGCCAAAAATGTGACTGCACGTTTTTCTAACGAAGGTTAAAGCCTCAGTAGAAAAACAGTCTGGAAAATACATGTTTATTTTTCTTCACACAAGTCATCTGCTGTGACAGTGGGCATCATTTGTGAGAATAAACACTTCTCAGGTGTCATAGATGCTGGTAAATTGCCCATTAGGCCTCGGTGCCCAGAGGTTTTTTTCTTTGAATACACAACTTGGCTGAAAGTACATACAGCCCTTTTTTCTTTGATAGGTTTTTGTTCAGCTATCTGGAAAACAGTCTCCTTTTGAATTGTTTGTTTTCTACTAAAGTGTATTCTGAAAATTAAGGGGAAAAATGTTTTTCTTTTAGAAACGCTCCCAATGTCCAAACTACCCATTTACGATAAAGATGAAGACTCCAAATTGAATCTGAGCATAAAGCGAGGTGTGACGTCTCGTCTCCTTTGTGCCTGCAGGTGCTGAGATTTGTTCAGGAGTGGAGCAGTCTGGCAGCCATGAAGCAGAAACTGCTTCAACGCAGCGGACTTCTGTGCCACAGTCCCACTCTGGGCCTGCAGCAGCTGGCTGCCACCCAACGACCTCACTCCAGTACCAAGAGGTCAGTTTCTAGCTGGAAACATCATCCTGTAGGAAAGAAATGCTCAGTTATAAAGAAGCTTTGCCATAAAAACATTGTTTTAAACTTTAGGTTTATCATGTTGGAACTCATAAAACCACCAGCTAAATCTTAAACCCTTTTAAAGTACAACGTGTGAAGATCAGAAGTAATGTTAATGCTTCTGTGAGTGGCTCATCGAGTCATCGTGGTAGCCAACACTCCTGCACACGGGCTTACTGTCGAGAGTAACAAAGCCATAAACAAACAATCGCAGTGTTAAAAGTGTGTGTCCCATCTGTTTTTGCCATCGTTTGTAGCAGATAAGTAGTAGAATAATGGTGTTTAAATATAATTGAACACTTTTTGAGTTTGAGATAGCAATCTTGACGTTTTTCGGGCACGTCCAACCAGGAGGAGACCTAAAGGGAGACCCAGGACACATTGGAGGGACTGTGTCTCTCGCCTGGCCAGGGAGCACCTTGGGGCTCCCACAGAAGAGCTGGCCCAAGTGGAGAGGGAAGTCTGGGCCTCTCCACTTAGGCTGTTGCCCCCGCGATCCGACTCCGGAGAAGCGGAAGAGAATGGACGGAGAGCAATGACATATTTTACCATATAATGGCTTCAGAAGGTTTTGCATAAAACAACAGCAGCCTTGTCTGCGCTGTGAATCGGCCCGGGCAGCCACCCCTTCGTCCTGGTGCTTTGGTTCAACCCAAGCTCTTAACTATGCCCTATTTGTGGGTTAACAATGCATACTTTACGTGTGATACACACGTAATAATGCACGTTTTTGGCCCAGCTACCTCAGCTAGCATCATGGTTAGCATGCTAAATGTTTACTTTTCACACACGCAGTGGTGTTCGTGTGCAGCAGTGAAATCATCCCCGCTGACACACTTTTGCACACGTTCCGGATGTTGTCTAGGCTGTTCACCGGTATTCCAGAGTGTGAAAAGTTCATTTAACGTAAATAAACACCTGTTTTTGGTACAAACTGGTATAACACACAAGACTAGTTTAGAACTCTTGAAATTTAGAGTGTGTGACATCATTACACCAGAGCAATCAAATGACTTTTAAAGCTCTAAAGGCGATGAAACAAACTGTAATTGTGTTAAAACCATAACAGAAACTAAGATGCCAAGTTCTTTTCCTGAAATGTCGACGTTTCTTAGCTGGTTTTATTTAGCAGATTTCCATCTACATCATATAATGTTTTGATAGGATGTTCTAAAACTGTGGGAGGAGTTACGATCCAGATTCCATTAAAAAAACTGAAGATTAACGGGTGAACAATAACGCTGATTCAATGGTTGTGCACTGGCAGTCTTAACAAGGCAACCTTGGCTTGTTCAGCAGACTCGCTACGTCTGCCAGGATCAGTGTGAACAACAAAAGCAGTCAGAATCAATGTTGAATACAGTCTCACAGATCCATTTTTCTCCAAAAGGACCAAACATTTTCACCGCTCCATCCTCTTCCCGTCATTCTAAACGGCCTTTGTGCAATAACCGAGGGTCAGTTGTGTGTGTTTCAATAAATCCATGAACCGTAACAAGGGAACAAAAGCACAAACAAATCAGTGAGAGATGATTTAACAAGCCGTTTCCGTGTTGGTACACATATGAATGCTGTGTAAACGGTGAGATGAATCCGTTCCCTACATGCAGTCGGGGACCGAGCGGCTCTGTGTGAGATTTCACAGAAACGAGCCGATTTGTAAATACTAGCTGCCCCAGGCATCATGGAAGGGCTGAATGGTATCTGTGTGTGTCCATGTGTGTGTGGGCGTATCAGAGGGTGTTAGCTGAGGCATAATAGAGGATGGGATGAGTGTTGCGTGCGTGTACATGTGTGTTTTTTGACAAACAAGCATTGTTGCTGGCACGCTAATTACAGCTGGCTTAGATAGAGGCAGGGAGAGTTTGTCAATTACAGAGTCGACTTGGGAGTGTGTGTGCGCGTGTGTGTGTGTAAGTGAGAGGTATCTCAACTGGGGAACACGTTTGGGTGCATGAACCTAATCAAGGTGCGAGTAGGAGGCAATTGGCCCAGCTTGATTTGATACCTGTTTGATTTATTCACTAATCAGAACCAATCAAGCTCCAGCTTCGGCTCAGCGGGGCGATCACGGCTCACCTTCCTCGCTTTGAGACGCTCAGTTTTCAAATACTTCAGACTTAATGTGTTTTGCCCAGGTTTCTGACGCACTGTTTCCGTCCGGAGCCTTTCGTGGTGATTTGCACAGATTTGAGAGTAGTCAAGAAGGTTTTAATCCAGTTAGCACCCATCCCACTACAAGTTGCTGTCTTTGGTAAATTTATGTCAACATTAGCTTCTACACTGAACACAAAAATAAACGCAACACTGTTTATATGTTTTTGCTTCCATTTTTCATGAGCTGAACTCAAACATCTGAAAATTTGTCAAGATACACAAAAGACCCATGACTCTCAAATATTGTTCTGAAATCTGTCTACATGTGTTAGTGAGCACTTTTCCTTTACCAAGATAATCCATCCCACCTCACAGGTGTGGCTAATCAAGGGGCTGATTAGACAGCATGAATAATGTACAGGTGTGCCTTAGACTGCCCACAATAAAAGGACACCCTGACATGTGCACAGTTTTGCTTTATGGGGGGTGGTGGGGCAAAAAAACTCAGTTTCTGGTGTGGCCACCATTGCCTCATGCAGGGAAACACATCTCTGTGGCATAGAGTTGATCAGCTTGTTGATTGTGATCTGTGGACTGTTGGTCCACTCCTCTTTAATAGCTGTTTGAAGTTTCTGACGAAACTGGAACACGCTGTCGTATACGCTGATCCAGAACATCCCAAACACGCTCAATGGGTGACATGTCTGGTGAGTATGCTGGCCATGCAAAAACTGAGATGTTTTCGGCTTCCAGGAATTGTGCACAGATCCTTGCAATATGAGGCTGTGCATTATCATGCTGCAACATGAGGTCATGGTCGTGGATGGATGGCACAACAATGGGCCTCAAGATCTCATCACAGTTCCTCTGTGCATTCAAAATGCCATCAATAAAATGCACCTGTGTTCGTTGTCCATAACATGCGCCTGCCCATACCATAACCCCACCGCCACCACGAGACACTCGTTCCACAGCGCTGACATCAGCAAACCGCTCACCCACATGACGCCACACATGCAGTCTGCCATTTGCCCTAAACAGTGAAAACTCATCTATGAACAGAACGCCTCTCCAACGTGCCGAACACCATCGAATGTGAGTGTTTGCCCACTCAAGTCAGTTACGACGACGGACTGCAGTCAGGTCCATACTCCGATGAGGATGACGAGCGTGCAGATGAGCTTTCCTGAGACGGTTTTTGACTGTTTGTGCAGAAATTCTCTGGTTATGCGAACCGATTGTTGCTGCAGCTGTCTGGGTGTCTGGTCTCGGTGCGGAAAGTTTGGGCCATGCGGAGGCGCGGTGGAGGGGCGTGGTTGTTTAAATGGCGCAAGTTTGCCGCGCGGAGCCGTGCAATCCTCGCGGACGCATCAAGCATAAACCAAGCTATAGCAAAACTTCAAAATAAAGCAATTTTCTAAATTAAAGCATGTTTGATAAATGGTCATTCTACTGATTTTTGGATCAATGACCAATAGATCGATGTATTGTTACACTTCTAGTCCACATCGTCTCAGTCTGACTTTATCTCCTTAACACCTAACATGAGCTGTCCCTCTGATGAACTCATTCCTGATCCTATCCATCCTCGTCATTCCCAAAGAGAACCTCCATTTCAGCCTCCTGTCCTTTCCTCATGGACACTGTCTCTAAACCAGACAACATGGCTGCTCTCACTATTGTCTTCTACACCTTTCCTTTCATTCTTGCTGACACTTTTAATCACACCTGACACTTTTCTCCACCCATTCCAACCTGCTTCTCACACTTGTTTACCTCCTCTCTGTAGCTTTGCACCGTAGACCCAAAGTCCTTAAATCCCTCTACCTGCTTTATTTTTTAGTTTGGCTTTTTGACCAAAATCGGCAAACTGTTGGTGTGAGGAGGTTAATTTCTGCTTAGCCGTCTCCTTATTTGGGTGAACATTGTAACCTATTGTTCTGGCACACTCATCTCACCACCTAAATTGTGTATATGTAAACAAATTCACATCTATATAATTACAAAACAGGTTTTATTGCGTCTATATTCAGATTGTCCATCAGTTCACCTACCAGGTGTCCTAATGCTCGGCCAACCGGTGTACTCGGCTCAGTTTCGCCCATTACCACCAAACCAGCTGGGAATTTCCTGAACCTGCTACTAAAAAAGTCGGTAGCTATACCAGCTCTTGGGTTTGGTGAAAGGCAGCAGCAACCAATCAAACAGCCTCGACTGGGCCCAGTCAGAGCAGCAGCTCGTTAGTTTGATTTCACACAGCTGAGCAGGGCCTGGCCTCCGAGCCAGCCGGGACAAGGCCTGATGGCTGTCTGCAGCTCTCAAAATACACTGTCAGCATCCTGCTGCCACTCTGACCCTGCAGCTGTGTGTCAACCAACAATGGCGAAGAAAACCCAAATCCAAATGATCAAGTTCAAATCAGGCTGACTGCTGGGTTTTGTCAGTGCTGCTGTGACCTGCTGCCTCTTTGGGCTACGATGTTTGAGTTCACCGTAGCTTTAAGAATTTTAGAAATTGTTTAGAAAATATGTCTAGTGATTGTTTGAGCCTTGAACGCTGCAATCTTATTATGCTCAGAATTTTTGTTTCCACCATTCAGTATTTATCCAAAACAAATACCACCACTAATTGTCAGTGTTGGGCAAGTTACTTCAAAATTGTAATACATTATTTATTACTTGTTACCCTCATTTTAAAGTAATTCATCACATTACAATATTACTGATTTTAAAATGTAAGGCATTACACTACTTTTGCATTACTTTAAGTTACTTTCACCAAAACAACTTCAACATGAATCTGGTAATGTGACGCTCAGTGAGCTCATGACATATATGTGGAAG